ATCTAATTATGCTATCATCCACCCCACCTTTTTCCATCCCAGAAACCCCAAGGATGTCAGGGTTGGGCCTGTTTTTAATATTTAATATTTTAACGAAGTGCCTTCTACCGGCTCAGCACATGGATCTTCCAGCTTAGTAATAAAATGAAACAGAAAGGAGAGGAGTGTGCCAGGAATTAGAGAATCCTCGCCATGTCCTAGTGACCTCTCCCACCAGGCCCTGGTGTTCTGTCTCCTAATGGTCAGATGGTTTTTCCAGAACAGACAAGCTCGGCAGTCTGCGTTCCTTCCTCTTTAAAACTGTAGTCATGCCTCTGTTCTGCATAGACACACATGCCAGAAAGGCGTGGGTTCACACTCTGCGGGCTGGGTGTGCTAGGCGAGCAGCCCAGTTCATTGCCATGACCTCGGAATGCATTGTCAGGACGGCGTGTGTCCCGTCCTAGGAGCATCTTCCGTTCAGAGCGCGTGGTTGTTGTTTATAGGACTGGCAGTCAGTGGGGATATGTTCCCACATCTCTCGGTACAGAGGCATCTTGGTTCTTTTATCATTTCTGAAACAGTCTAAATCCATGGTACTGGGGGAAACAGTTTCGTATTATAGCAAAGATATGTGTGGCTTTCTTTGTTAAAGTTTGTTTTTCTTCCTGGAGAGGATCGAGTCCTGTACAAAATGTATGATACTAGCCTTTTTAAAGTGTGTTTTTCTATACTTCTTGAAGACGGAAGAAAAGGAACGTCTGTTATTTAGAACCGTCTTGGTCTAGGAGACACCAAAGGAAACAGCTGCGTCTTACCTCCATGTTAGCTGCTTATCTCCATCAGTTAGCAGATAAGCAGCAAGGCTCCATCAGTTCTGTTTATGTGCAGCCCTGGTTGGGGTTCCCAGTGCCTGCTCCAGGGGAAAGAGGCTAGAGATGTTTACTATGCTTGGGAGCTTATGAGCAGAAAACTTATTCTTATACTGAGTTTCTGAAACCTTGCTGTGCCTGTGAGTCATCGGGGGATCGTGTTAAAATACAGATTCTGGATCAGGAGGCCTGGATGGGGCCTGAGGTTCTGCATTTCTAAAGCTGCTGGGGTGCTGGTGTTGCTGGTCTGACGACCACCCTTGGAATGGCAAGGCCTTCGGCCACCAAGCTAAATTTTAAAATACTGATGGAGGGATAGATATAAATGTAGATATAGAGATGCTGGAGATGAATGTATTCAGAACAGTGATTACCAGGTAAGCTGTATGTAGTAAACCCTAAATAAATGTCTCAATTCATCTATGAACTCGCCCTCCACTTTAGCCTTCCTAATGTTTGAACAGTATGATCTGCATTTGTGGTTCTTTTGTAACTTAGTGTTTATGGACTCTTGTGTGGCTCCACGTTTCAAAGAAAGTGTTCTGTTGTGGCGGGAACATTGGAGGCGAACTCCTCGGGGCCCAACTGAGTAGGCCTTCGGCCACTGAGCTAAATTTTAAAATACTAATCGAGGGATAGATATAAATGTAGATATAGAGATGCTGGAGATGAATGTATTCAGAACAGTGATTACCAGGTAAACTGTATGTAGTAAACCCTAAATAAGTCTGTCTCAATTCATCTATGAACTCCCCCTCCACTTTAGCCTTCCTAATGTTTGAACAGTATTGATCTGCATTCGTGGTTCTTTTGTAACTTAGTGTTTATGGACTCTTGTGTGGCTCCACGTTTCAAAGAAAGTGTTCTGTTGTGGCGGGAACATTGGAGGCGAACTCCTCGGGGCCCAACTGAGTCATTGGGTTTCAGCCCTGAGAAGGCGATTGGGGACACAGAGGCCATTTGTCTGCAGCTGGAAGGAGACCCTAAAAGCAGAAATCCCACTCTCCTTTTTTCTTCTTTCTTATCCCTTACTCTCTCCCTTCCTTTTCCCTACTGCACTTTTCTGCCTTCATTATTGACCTCTTCCTTCTTTTCTATTCATTGAATAGTCACCCAATGTACCAGAGACATGGACATGGTAGCATACTCTGGCGCCCTCTGGTGGTTCGTTGCAAAGAGCAAGACACAGCCCTAGCAGGTTTGACTCAGTGGATAGAGTGTCCACCTGTGGACTGAAGGGTCCGGGATTCGATTCTGGTCAGGGCACATGCCCAGGCTGCAGGCTCAATCCCTAGGCAGCCGGTCAATGATTCTCTCTCATCATTGATGTTTCTCTCTCTCTCCTTCTCCCTTCCTCTCTGAAATCAGTAAAATATATATATGAAAGAGCAAGACACAGTCCCTGCCCTCACAGTGCTTCTCCCTGATAGGAGATACTGACACTACAGAGAGATAATGGAGCACAGGGAAGGAGCACATCCCCAGAATTAGATCCTCGTCTCCTCCAAGCTGCACTGGTAATAGCAGGCATGGTCCTTCCAAATGTGGGAGGAGGATGGGTTGAATTTTTATCAGTTTGGCCCTTTTTGGTCCAGTTCAGTCTTTATCTTTATATCCTTGGTTTTATTATTATTATTATTATTATTATTTTATTATTATTAAGAAAGGATGTTTATCAGTGGATAACTTTTTAAAAGAAAATATATGAATTTGTCAAGGCCAAGTCTTAGTGGTCCATTAGCAGAAGAACAGCTCTAAATAAGCAATGTAAATAAGCCAGGGCACTCCTGAGAACCAAGTCAGCATTCTTCTTCAAACTGGGTTCTTTAAAAAGTACCTTCAAAGGGGTTTTCTCGTTTTGTATATTGTGCATTCAGTTGTATGGGCAATTTCACATTTGCATTGCTAATGGACCTATTTCTGAATGTGTTTGACATTTTGCTTGGCTTTGAAAGGACTTTTCTGCTGCTGCTTTTTCTTCCCTGAAGCTGTCTTGCACTAATTAACCTATTCCCTTACTGCCTGGGCCTACTATATGCAAATGTTCTAATTTCAGATTCTGACATACTACTTTGCATGAACATCCTTAGTGAAATCTTGTGGGGTCTTATTGGATCAGTGCTAGTGTAGAGCCAGCAGGGGGCGTCTGTAATGGTGGGCTTTGAGTAGATCTATCTTATATAACTTTGCTAGTTGGTATGGGAATATGAGAGCTCATACAGTTCCCGTGCTCATGGGTGACTCTTGAAATCTCTAGATCATTATCGGTGCTTTTTAAGCAGCCAAAAAGGGCAACTGTTTTTGATGCATTGTAGTTTAATTTTATTCTGTCATTGTTTTGAAAATAGCACTGCATTTCATTGACTTGCGAGTACCGGGTGTAAATTATGTAGTGCACTCTATAAGAGAAGGCTACGCAGAACACAGTTACCTGGACTTTAAAAGGCTGCAGGTCGGGAGAGTAAATAATTGACACTACTCTTTCGACACAGATATTTCTTCAGCATTAATATTTTAGGTCTTTTTATTTTTGTTTCTGTCCCAGTCTTTAAAGTGCCTCTCATCATATGAGAACCCCTATTATAACTGAAATGCTCTTTGATGTTGAGACACCAAATTCCTAAACCTCCACCTTCAACATAAACTGATCATAGTCATTGTAGTTGGGGGACTTGGTCTTGTGCCATTTGTACTTTTATAGTGATATTTTTTAGTGATATTCAGGCAAAACCAAAAAGGACCACTAAATCATTGGCAAAATAAAGTAAAATTGCAGACCAGGGTGGGGAGTGTAAACTGTATAGGAGATGTGGAATAAGCTGGTGTTGGGAGTTGAGCGGAGGGGCGTCAGAGAAAAGTGTGTAATAATAGGGATATGAAAAGATTTTTTTAAAAAGGATATGGTGATTGCTTCAGATAGACAAGGATCAGAGGCTGAAGGCTGCTGCCGTATTGTGTTTTTTAAAATCAGAGCATAGAAAAGAGTGTCTGGGTAGGAGGACCACTGTAACCCCAGGGCACGTGATCCCCACAGCGGGACCTCACAGCTTCCCAAAGTCATAGCAAGGTGACATTGTGCGTGTCTGCAGCTGCTGCCTGTAGGGGGCGCACACATCTGGCCCTTGTCAGCCTGGTTCCTGTGGCTTCCACTGATGTTTTGTCTCCTGCCAGGTGGGCATCTCTTTGCCCACAGTCTTGGTGACTCGGAATTCAGTGTTTACTGGGAGACTGAGATATGTGTCTAAGAAATGGCTCCAGGTTCACTGTTTGTATGTTCGACTGTAAACACACAGGTTCTGATTGGTCTGAAAGAAGTTTCACCTCCAGGGTTAAGGGTAGGCTGGCTCTCTCCAAGGAGAACGGGGGCGGGGGGTATAAAAGGAAATTCAAAGGCCACTTGGAAAGATCGGGGATGAAGCAAGTGTGTAACCATCGTTAAAGAAACCTTCAGTACACCTGCATGATTATCGCATTTTTTAAAAAAACTGTAACCATATTCATTTTTTAACTGTCTCACCAATTTCTTTTGGTTTTCTGTTATCATATGAGTGGCTGTACTGGGAATTCTTGTAAAGAGAATTGTTGTAAAGTTAGGATGGACCCAGAGTCAGGTGGAATCTTCGAGTAGTGGCTCTAATAGATGGGGATTCAGAGGTAACATGCAAAGTCCATTGAGGCTCTCACTCCTAACCTGCCCCTCCCCAGGGCCTGGCTCCGAGGGCGGGGCCCAGGGGACATTCCCTGATGTCATCCTCCCTGTGAGTTTCATTTGATTTTCCAACAAAGTAACTAAGAGGTGAGGCATGGAACCAGCACTTCTGAGAGAAAACTTAAGAAACACATTGTCTACCTTCTAATAAGAAAAAAGGAGAGAGGTATTGAGAAACGTGTCTTAGGGGAGTTAACTTCATAAAAAGGTCTCTGCTTTAAGTTTTGACTTGCTCCATGTCTTAATCATCTTCCTGATAGGCTGTCCACCCAGGCCAATGTTTTAACTGTTTCAATGTCGGGGCTAGGATCATGTTTTCAGAATTTGCACTGAAGCCAAAGCCTAGTCTTAGTCTTGGAAGGATGTCCTTTTCCGGTGCTGATGTCTTGATTTCTTTTCCCTCCTTCCCTTTCTCTTCCTTTCCCTCTTCCTTTTCCCAGATTCCAGAGCTGCTGCTGGCGGACTGCACCCACGGGGAGATGATTCCTCATGAAGAGCCTGGATCCCCTACAGAAATCAAATGTGACTTTCCGTTTATCAGACTAAAATCAGAGCCAGCCAGACAGTGAAGCAGTCACCGTGGAGGGGGGACGGCGAAAAATGAAATCCAACCAAGAGCGGAGCAACGAATGCCTGCCTCCCAAGAAGCGCGAGATCCCCGCCACCAGCCGGCCTTCGGAGGAGAAGGCCACCGTCCTGCCCAGCGACAACCACCGGGCGGAGGGCGTGGCATGGCTCCCGGGCACCCTGGGTGGCCGAGGTCACGGGGGTGGGAGGCATGGCCCGGCAGGGACTGCGGTGGAGCTTGGTTTACAACAGGGAATAGGTTTACACAAAGCGCTGCCCACGGCGCTGGACTACTCCCCACCCAGCGCGCCCAGGTCTGTCCCGGCAACCACCACGCTGCCCACGGTGTACCCTCCCCCACAGTCAGGGACCCCGGTGTCGCCCGTGCAGTATGCACACCTGCCGCACACTTTCCAGTTTATTGGGTCCTCCCAGTACAGCGGGCCCTACGCAGGGTTCATCCCCTCCCAGCTGATCTCCCCAACGGCCAGCCCCGCCACCAGTGCGGTGGCCTCGGCCGGGGGCGTCTCCACTCCATCCCAGCGCTCCCAGCTGGAGGCCTATTCCACTCTGCTGGCCAGCATGGGCGGGCTGAGCCACGCCTCAGGACACAAGGCTGAGCAGCAGCAGCAGCAGCACTTGGGCAGGACTCCAGGGCTCATGGCACCAGGGTCCCCACCACCCACCCAGCAGAACCAGTACGTCCACATCGCCAGCTCCCCGCAGAACGCCGGGCGCACGGCCTCTCCGCCGGCCATCCCCGTCCACCTCCACCCCCACCAGACGATGATCCCACACACCATCACCCTGGGGCCCTCCCCCCAGGTCGTAGTGCAATACACCGACTCCGGCAGCCACTTTCTTCCTCGGGAGGCCACCAAGAAAGCCGAGAGCAGCAGGCTGCAGCAGGCCATGCAGGCCAAGGAGATCCTCAACGGGGAGCTGGAGAAGGGCCGGCGGTACGGGGCCCCCACCTCGGCCGACCTGGGCCTGGTGAAGGCCGGCAGCAAGTCAGCGCCTCACCCCTACGAGTCCAGGCATGTGGTTGTCCACCCCAGCCCCTCTGACTACGGCAATCGGGACTCCGCGGGGGTCCGGGCCTCTGTGATGGTCCTGCCCAACAGCAACACCCCCGTCTCCGACCTGGAAGTGCAGCAGGTCACGCACCGTGAGGCCTCCCCCTCCACCCTCAACGACAAAAGTGGCCTGCATTTAGGGAAGCCCGGACACCGCTCCTACGCGCTCTCACCCCAACAGGCTCTGGGCCCCGAAGGCATGAAGGCCGCCACCGTCGCCACACTGTCACCCCACACGGTCATTCAGACCACACACAGCGCTTCGGAGCCACTCCCAGTCGGACTGCCAGCCACAGCCTTCTACGCAGGGACTCAGCCGCCTGTCATCGGCTACCTGAGCAGCCAGCAGCAGGCGATCACCTATGCCGGCAGCCTGCCCCAGCACCTGGTCATCCCCGGCACCCAGCCCCTGCTCATCCCGGTGGGCAGTGCTGACGTGGAGGGGTCGGGAGCTGCCTCTGCAATAGCCACGTCGTCGCCCCAGTTTGCAGCAGTGCCTCACACGTTCGTCTCCACCGCCCTTCCCAAGAGCGAGAACTTCAGCCCAGAGGCCCTGGTCACCCAGGCCGCCTACCCGGCCATGGTGCAGGCCCAGATCCACCTGCCCGTGGTGCAGTCCGTGGCGTCCCCGGCAGCAGTGCCCCCGACGCTGCCCCCCTACTTCATGAAAGGCTCCATCATCCAACTGGCCAACGGGGAGCTGAAGAAGGTGGAGGACTTAAAAACGGAGGACTTCATCCAGAGCGCAGAGATCAGCAATGACCTGAAGATCGACTCCAGCACCGTGGAGAGGATTGAGGACAGCCACAGCCCCGGCGTCGCCGTCATCCAGTTCGCCGTCGGGGAGCACCGGGCACAGGTAATGTTCACCCAGGTCCCAGGCGGGGACACCCACCACACACCTTCCTCACTTCCTGGCGAGATGAACGTCTTCCAGGAGCAGACTCTGCCGTGCTCTGGGGGGAATGAAAGGCTTTCATTTGTACCCAGACCTCGGACTCGGAGTCTTCTCTAAGAAGATTCTCTAAGAGAATTAGCCCCGGTGCCCCAAGACGTCTGCGGTTTGCAGTGATCTAACTTCTCTGCACCTGGAGTGAGGCTAGTCAGGTCCCAACCGCAGGACAATTTAAGGAAATCATCACTCAAGTTATGCTTTTGTTCTGGGGTTCAGATGGGAACCTGACTGAGAAAGGCTGGGTTAAGGCCCTTCTAGAGGCCCATCTGCCCCTTTTTCCCCACCAGGAAGGGACACTGATGGTCAGGTAAGGATAATAGATGCCCAGAGTCACCCACCATATCTCATACCAACATCCGTGTTTTAAAATGCAGGTTTTATTGTTGGTCAGGCATGGCAAGGCCAAGAGATGAGATAATGGCCATTGAAAACATAGTTCTTATACTCCCAGATCCCAAGAGGGGACATGCCACCCGGGGCAGCACCAGGCTCAGTCAGGAGGCAGAGGGAGTGAGGAGAAAGGGGGCAGCAACGCTTATTGTAGTTTCTGTGGGGAGGAGTGGGTGAGAGGGTGAGTAGGTGTGGAACTGGCTGGTTTGAATAACTTTATAGTTAGCTCTCCTCCTAGTTGTCTGGTACCTGCTGTGGGGTGACTGGGGCAGGTGGGCAGTGGCCAGGAGTCTGAGCCTCCTAAAGGAGGTGGCTGAGTGGTTTGCATATGAAGGGTATGCTCCCAGCAGAGTTGATTGCTATTTCTAGGAATTAGCTAACCCCAGAGGGGCAATCCCTCCAGAGTCAGCAAGGCCCCCAGATGTCAGAGCATCCGAACACAGAAAATGAAAGGCAGGGTTCATACAACCCAAGAAATCAGGGCTGTCGCAGGTGCTCTGCTGGGCTTGGGGTGAATAGGAACCCCAAGAGTCATGTGCAGCCAAGCTGACTCATGTTAAAAACTGGAACTATGATCAACTCTCTTCTAATTTCCCTGGGCTCCTTCAGTCTACCCTTTTCCAGGCTCTTAAATCTCTTGGATGCATTTATTCTACAGCCCATTATAGCAAACAGCAACGTCACTGCCCAGGTTGATTGAGTCAAACAGAGTAGGCCCCCATGGGAACTCTCCTGGCGGTAGAGCCCACTCGCTGGGGATGTTTCCATCAGGGACTTTAAAACTCTGGGCTGTGACAGCGCCTCCTTCAGGTGTGAGTTGGAAAAGGGTCAAGGCTTAGCTGATGGGACGTTTACAGAAAATAAAACAAACAAAACAAGACAAACTAGTTAATGGTTTGAATTGTTTTAAGTACATTTTTAAAAGATCAAGTGAAGTGGAGGGAGGCCAATTTTCCAAAGTGTTTTCCGAAACTCCTTTTGAATGACCGGATGTGGGATCTTACACAACAGCCAGGACCTGCCTTGCCAAGAGCTTTTAACCCCAAATATTTTTCTTTTTTATGGTGAGATGTCACTTTAGGCTTAGACTCTTTGGTAAGACCCACAAAAGAATTCGCAAAGTTCTGAGTCAAAGAAAGAGCAAAACTCAAGCTTTTTAAAATGGCATCATTATGTACAACTCACTACCCATCTGTAGTTGCTGCTCACTCCGACCTTCCTACATGGATTGGGGTCGGTCCTCGTAGGAAAAAGGAATTCTCTTTAGCAAAGCTGTCTTTTTAAGAGTCCCCAGGAGAAGCGTGGTAAATAAACAAGAATGAAAAGTAAATGTGTTTTTCATGGTAGCTTTTTTTTTTTTTAATCCTTAAAGCGTTAGTGTGCACAGAAGTAGGAATGGAAAGAGGTGTGATATTTTTAAACACTCCTGGTTCCTTACCAGCATCTCTTTCAACTTGAGAAGAAAGAGCAGCTCTAGCCGTGGGCCGCATCTCCGAGGCCCTGGCAGCCTCTCACAACAGCGCTCACGGCCTCTTTAGGTTTCAAATGGACCTGGCAGGTCTTAGAGAGGAAGCAAGCATCTCTCTGTGTTTTCCCTGCTTGATACTTTGCAGAATGAACGTCTAAATGATAGAGAAATTGGCTTCCAGGCCAAGTCTCATTACCTTCCCGTAGCCAGACCACTCGTCTCTCTGCTGACAGCCAAGGTGCAAATTAGAAGGTGGAATATTTGTCACAGCCTGTTCGCAGGTCTGTCAGGAGGGCCCCTGTGTGGTCGGGCTGCGTGCTGGGAAGGGCTTCTGCAAAGACCTGTGAGAGAGCTGTTGTAGAAACAAGTGCAGGGCCCCAGCACAGCCAGTGATTTGTCCCTCTACTGGGAGCCTATCAGAAACAGGCTGACATCATCACAGTGAAAATACTCCCCCAGCTGTGTCCGCCTCAGTGACAGAGCAGAGTCCTGGAGAGTCAGGGAGAACTCAAGTCCGGATTTAATTTACGTGCCCAGGACGGGGTGCTTCCCTCTGTGACAGGTGTCACTGAGAGCTCTCTCCCCAGCCTGCAGATCAGTCCATGTCCTCCCTACTGACTAGAATCACTAACCCTTGCACCTACAGGGAGATTAGAAATGTGCAAATTGTTTAACTTAATTAGCAAAATCACAGATTTGATTGGGGAAGTTGAAGGAGCAGGGCTGGTTTTTCCATAGTAGGTGGCTTTATGGCCCTGGGCATAAATCCTACCTGGTTGGAGGGCCTCAGGAGGCCTGACCTTATAAAACCCAAGCAGGATCTGACCTTATAAAACCTAAGCAGGATCCCGAGAAGGCCATGTGGCGCAGAGAAAGCCAGGAGTCCGGGTGCTGGTCAGCTGCCAGGCCAGTTGTTTTACCTCTCAGAGCTGCCATTTTTCTCATCTCGAAACAGGTAGATGACCCCTTACACCTGGTAGATACCTGGGCCTCCTTGTTCTGTAATCCTTGGCTTTCCTTCCTGCCCTGCAGAACCGCCCTTATGAAATTGGCCAGCACCAACACCAGAACCAGGGGCCATAAAGGGCACCTCCGCTGACCTCATGCTCAGGACCCGCCGTAGACTGTAGATGGAGGGGAACTAAAGCCAGCCTGTGTGAAACAGAGGGGCTTTATTTTGGTGATTATTTTTAAGGAGCTGATTTTCTTCTTATTATTATTCAAAGATGCCTCCGATGTTGTTTCCAGCTGAAGCACCAGACGAGGCAGTGTAGGAGAAAAGCACTTTCCGGTATTCATCCCCATCCCTGGGGCTGGTCCTACGCAACAGGGCATTTCTGTGCACCCCAGTGCCCCACCCCAGGCGTTATCCCTTACTACTGTAGGCTCCTCAGGAAGCTTCTTTTGGCCACTCTGCAGTCTTCTTCCTCTTCCGGTGAAGGGCAGGGAGCACACTCCCTCCACCCCTGCAGGGAGGGTCCTTGCTTCCATCCAGTCTGCCCCTCAGCCCTGGTGATTCTGGTCGAGAGCCCCAAGGGACAGTAGAATCACTTCCCTCAGAGCCTCACTCCCAAATATAACCCACTTAATATTCTCCAAGTTTGAGTCCGTAAGTCTGTGGCGAGTCCCAGAAGGGATCCCAGGCAATAGGAGCATCACCTGCTTGGGTGGGAAGCAAGTTGGCTGAAAGGAGAATGTGGGATCTGGAGCCAAAAAGACCTCAGTCTGAATCTGTCCTCCACCACAGCGCCGGGGCCTTGTGCAAATATTTACAAATAATTGCACAAATAATTTATCATGCAAATTCTACCCCAGCCTTCCATCCTTGGTTATGTAGTGGGAATAATGTAAGACTTAAAGAAAATACATTCAAAGGAACCAGCACACTATGTAGCACGTAGTGGGCCCTCAACAATGTTAGTGTCCCTTCCCTGCTTCCCTTGAGTGACTTTGGCCCTGAGAAGGGAAATGGTTGGCTTCTGAAAAAGAAAAGGCTCTGTGCTCTATAGTAAACAGAGTTTATGGAAGGAGAGACAGTTTAGAAAAGCCCAGAAAGAAGGCTGAACTTTCCCAATGAGCTGTGTTTACCCTGCCTGTGTTCCTGTGGCATGTTCCCAATGACGGGCCCGGAAGCATGCATACCGCTACTTCTACGTGTGAGCGTACACATGCAGTGCTTTCCTGCGTGTGCACTGGACTAGAGGGGTGGATGCATGGTCCAGCCCTCCACATCAGTAAGAGGACCCAGGCAGGGACTGCGGCTCATGGGCCTCTCCTGCAGCAGGCCCGCTAGGAGAGTCCCACCCAGGGTGGCCCCACCTGGGGGGTCGTCAGCTTCCATCTGGCAAAAATGTTCTGTATGTGAGCAGCCTCCTACCTCTCTGCCTCATGCTCCCCAGGCCTCAACTTTTCTGAAAAGTATACATACTTGGCTCAGAAGACTTGGAGCAGATCTTACTTGAAAAGTGCTCTGGGGTGACTCTTTTCTTGGACTGCTTCTCTCCTAACTGCCGAGCTCCTTATGTTAGTGGGACTGTCTGTCGCTTCCCAGATCCTCCTGGGGTGACTGCTTCCCGTTACCGCCACGGCGACTGCTTAATATTCAGTGCCACTTCCTTCCCCCAACTGTCCTGGCGTGTCTGCGTGTGTGTTGGTTCACTCATAAGGCACGTTATAATGATGTGCTTACTGCACGTTTACCGATGGCTTTCGTGCATCCCACTATTTTTTTAATTTGACTGCTGTGTTCTGTGAGTCATCCGTGGTAGCATTATGCAGTTAATGGATTAGCTGCTGCCCAAAAATAGCCAAAGCCCTCATGCAAGCAGCACATAAGCTGGTGTAGTCCCTCCGCAGCCAAGGCAAGCCGACGTGCCAGCGTTCTACATGCGGAGCCTGCCGGGAATGAGTCTTAAAGAACCAAAGACAGATAGTGGCTGCCCTGTGTTGGAAGCCCAGAGCCGGGCCTGTGGTCCAGGTCCTGGTGGAGATCCTCCTCTGGGTTCTGACACGGGAACGGCTGCAGCAGGGAAACAGCGGCACGCCA